TATAATTTACCACCCTATTGTAATGCTATAAAAAAAACCCCAAAACCAAAAGAAAACCCAACCAAAAAAATCAAACCACACAAAGTCAGTCAGACACTAATTTAATAATTTGCATTATAAAAACATGGTATGTAAGCTGTAGAACAGTTGGTAAAACTTCAGTGGATTCTTCTCTGGGACAATGAGGCAGTAAGAACAATTTCACGTAAAGTTTGATGATTTAGGTGCAAGAGCTCAAGCATGCTCAAAAGTATTTGAAATTTGTTCCAATATATCTATCACACAAGACAGTGAGTTATCAGTAGTATATCATGCATTGCTAGTCATATTCCAAAAATATCTTTAAATATTACTAGAAAGTTAATTCCTTAGCAAAAACTTTTGAATGCTGCTCATGAGTTTTCTCATGATTTTTAGGTATCTTGTGTTTTACTGCCCAGAAGACATATTCTACCGGTGCCTTGCCTTTCTGCCCCTTCGGCTTCTGGTTGCAGGAATGAAAGAAGTGACTAGGACTTGGAAGATAACAGCTGGCGTTGTACATGCAGACAGTCATTTCAAAGATGCCTGGCTTGTCATGGTAGCTGTGGGCTGGGCCAGAGGTAACATGCATAACATCTTGTTCTGATGAATTGTGATGTTTTGGAGTGGTATTTAAATGGCTAGCCCTTCAGCGTAACTGTAGCACCATTTCTTGCTGTGCTGGATATGATAGTCCTAATACAGTCTGTTACCCCCTCAAAGGAAAAGCCTGTGCAGCAGTTTTTCTGCTTGGATTAAGGGTGACACTGAATGAATTTGAGGGAAGTTCGTCTTATCCCTTCAGAAGGTCCTCCAAGGACTTGTAGGATGGGCAATTGATGGCAATAAAGAAATGGAACTCCTGTGTAGCTTCAGTGCTATTACTAAACTTCCCAACTGCATATTTTGGCAGAGCTCTTTTCCTTTCAAGGGTCTGAAGAAGAGAACTTGTTTTCTTAGCTTTCTGGGTTGCAGCCCTTAGCTGATTTTAAACACAGGAACGACCCTTCTTGCCTGCCTGCTGTTTGGAGTATGACTCTGGAAGCTACCTTGCTAGCAGCTGTATTTGTAGTCACATCGTTAGAACCACTTCAGGAAGTAGTAGTGCAACTCTTGTTTCTATTTGCTATTCTGTTCTGCTTTGTGAAACAACACGTGTTAATGTGATGGTCTAACGTATTCTTTTCCCAGGTTGTGATACCGATTAGTCTCACTGGCCAGAGTGTAACACGTCTTGCCTTCTTTTAATGTGAAAATACACATCCATGCAGAGGGTCCTTGTACTTTATAGAGACACTCTGTACTTAAATGATAACATGAAGAACGGAATGATACAAGCCTCTCTGGAGATTTACTTTAGCAATTCAGGCATTTGTTTGTGGTGATGAGTGAATCAATTCAGATGCTATCACATAAAGATGAACCTGAGGTTCTTGCTAAGTAGCTAAACCTCTCGGGTTTCATGTTGGTTGCTCAAGTCATGCACATATAAAAAATTGGATTAGTTGCTTTAAGTCTGAGCTTTGGGTGCCACATTTGGCACCTGGTGTAACAAGTTCTGCTGGGAGCAATAATAGGTTGTGCAATAGGGGCAGCAGTCAGTGGGGGCTTATTGTAAATCTCTACAATTTCAGGAGCTGGTGGTGGCCTAATTTCAAACTTTGAGCAGCTGGTGAGAGGAATATGGAAACCTGAAACCAATGAACTACTTAAGATGTCCTAGTAAGTTTTTTAAAAGAGACTGCAACATGTTAACTGTTGTTTTGCTAACTCCTGGTGTTGACACTCACTTTTAGTGGTTCAGATTTAAAAAAAAAAAAAAAAAGACAGTAGGAAATGTTCGTAATCAATGCTTTGGTGTGTATCTTGTGGAAGATCGGTTTTAATCATTTTACATTCACAGCACAAGAACACAAAATAGGAAGACAAGTCAACAAAAATTATTTGGCAGAAAGCAGTATTGAGTCAGAAGGAAGTTGCTGAAAAGGAATATTTAGTCAACTTGTCTTACAGGGACATGGTCTTATTTCCAAAATGAAAGGACAGTGGTACCAGAACTATACAAGTAAAGTCTTCATTTTTTGTGCATGTGCTGAACATCAGTAAGAGGACCTCTTTTGAGTGTTGTCCCTCATACTTTCTCTGCCAGTACTGTTTTCCTCCATAGATGTAAATTATTTGAGAAGGTACAAATCGGTTATTCAATATGGCAAAAATGTAATGCAAGGTAGGAAATGTTACTTCTCTTGCAGAAGCAGAGAATGAGAGTATTACATGGCTTCCAGTTTATTCTGTACAGTAAAAGGAGAATTGAGACAGGCTAGAAAGCCACAAGCTACGGTTGTAAGTCAAGATAAGCTGTGGTAATTTCTTAAAATTCATTTGATCTTTCACATGTTACTCTCAAGTCATTAGAAATAATATTTATTTATTTTCAAAGTTATCTTGCTCTTCTGCAGCCACTCTTAGCAATGGAAAATAACAGAAGAGAAATTTGTAGCCTTTCCTTTCAAAATATTTCAACTTTTTATAGCTTATGTTGGTTTTTGGCTTTTTCTGCAATTCCAGGTATTTAGAATTTCTCTCCCTCAGTCAGTGCCTGAGTCGCTGCAGTCTTGAAAGCAAAATTCCAGCAGGAAAATGTCACTGGCAGTTAATAGCACTGTAAACCCAAATAACACTGTACATAGAGGTGCAACACTAGAGCAATGCTTATTGATTGTGGCAGTGCTTACATATATTCTCTTTTTCCATGGTCGATGTTGCTCCAAGTAACTAAAAAAGTGTTTTTAAAATTCTATTTAATATATAAAGCTTAAGAATATGAAATACAAGTAAGTTACAAAGTTAAACAGATAAAGCATTCTGCAAATGGATGAGATGCCTGTATACACAGAGTTGGTTTTTGGACTTCCTAAGCAGGAAGTTTATGCAGTTTATGAGAGTTATGCAGTAACTCTCTTGAGTTACTGAAAAGTCAGTGAAGAATTTGTCTGCGCTGGACACTCTGTGATAACAGGAATGTCATCTGTATGTCACATGTAGATGCAGATGAAGAAATGCACAGAATTTTTCTGCCAATATGTTAGTACTTTCTCTTCAGATGTCTTTAGATAACTGACCAAAAATTTCTTCACCGAGAGGGTGGTCAAGCATTGGAACAGGCTGCCTAGGGAGGTGGTGGAGTCACCATCTCTGGAAGTGTTCAAAAAACATGTGGGTGTGGTGCTTCAGGACATGGTTTAGGGGACATGGTGGCGCTGGATTAATGGTTGGACTTGATGATCTTGAAGGGCCTTTCCAATCTTAGTGATTCTGTGATTCTGTGATTTTCTGACTGCCTACCTAGCAGGGGATTTACCATCACAATGAAGATAGCTAGAAGATGTAAATCTTTGCATGCCTCAAGTCAGCTCAGCTATGTTGGCAAAATCTGGTAATACAGGCCTGGCTGAAGTCAAGTATAAGCTGACTAGAAACCCTAGACCTGGTGGAGCATTATGATGGACTGAGACTTGGACTAAGTTGTTCTTCAACAACCTTAAGCAACTCCTTGGAGTAACTAACACCTGGAATACAGGAGAGGAACCTGTTTTTAAGTCTAGTCTGAACAGTGCAAGCTTTGTGATGTAACTCTTCAGTAAGATATATTGGGAGGGGAAGAAGGGGAGGAAGCTGGTGTGTAAAGTCTGAATAGAGGCATTGGTTTGAGGAGGAGTTGTCAAACCTGAGTTTGCTGAGTGTGTGGAGAAGTGCTGAACTCGATGCTTATCCATATCATGGACAGAAAGCATAGTAATGGTATATAAAGCAAAAGTCTTCTATACCTTGTCACTGTTACCACAGGTTTTCATTAGTTCTATTCAGAAATCATTCTTCTGCACACTAAGAACACTTATTGCTTTGCAGGCCATGGCAGCTTTCACTGTGGAGTAGAGAAGAGAAATTAACATTGTTTGTTTGATTTCCAGCCCTGTGAAGGTAACTTTGATAGGAGCAGTTCTTTTCACCCTGCAACACAGCCAGTACTTGCCAATAGCAAGACACAACCTCATGTTTTTATACACCATCTTTCTTGTGGTCTCCAAGGTAAGAATGTGAAAGTGTGTCAAGTAACTGAATAACAGAAAATATTTTATTTCATTATTTCAGAGAAAAAAATATACCCTCAAATGTTCTACCGCAAGTTCGAATGCATACTTCTGGATAGGAAGGCTGCCTCTTGCTGAAGTCTTAAACCTGTGTTTAGTCTTCTATATATGAGCAGAACAGAAGACCTATTCTGTTACTGATACTTTTCAATGTATGGAAATTAAAAATAAAAAAAAAATCAGGAATTTTGGCACCCAGCAGTTGATATGCCAGGCATGTATGTCCATAATCTCAGACAAAGCATATGTTTGTAGAAAGAAACTCTCCTGTTCTCTGCCTTTTGCTAGTTGCTTAATGCCTTCCTTGTACCTGTGCAGTCATCTGTGGGTTTGCAAAACAAGCCAGCTAGGTTCCCATTTAGCCTAAAATGTTTGCAATATAAATGTTTAGGTGGGAAGAGAAAGTGCATCAAAACAATTTTGAAGTAGCTCTAACTACTTTTACAATAACATAGATACTACTTCTCTACTGAATCCTGTAATCCCTCCGGTCTTGTTAATTTCCAGGATGATGCCTGTCTTCAAAGTTATTAGCTAATAAGAAAGCGTCGTCTGTTAGCAGAAGTCTGGTGATTTTAAGAGCTTCAGAGCTGCTGTTGAACAGACTAGGGACTGTCTTAAAGTGGTGGTTGCCAGTTGCCTTTCTGTGAAGTAGGTGACAAGTTTAATTCTAGAGAAGTTCCTTTAGGGAGCCAAGACTTCAAGCTAATGCTCACAATTCTCCACCTAAACCAATAAAGGCATTGTTGAACTGGGGGTGCTGGGAACAGAGAAGGAAAGGAATGTTATTCTGGAAGTGAGAAATTACAGCTGTCTTTAGAAGCTGGCTGTCAGGCTGCACTGAAGTGAGTAAGTTCTTAAACTGACAGTAATCCTGACAATTGGGAACCTGAGCATCCACTTAACTAATAAAGCAACAGTTGTGGATGTGGCATAGTCCTGTAGTAGTGTCTTTTTTTAGAAACCTTTTATGTCTCCAAAGACTGTAGAAACTGTTGCAATGTAAATTTGTCCAGTAACTGGATCTACAAAACAGTTTTTTTCTATCCTGATTCCAAGTTATATATTCTAAGGAATTTCCACCTAAATCTCTGTTACTGACCTCAACTTTATGGAATGAGTATAGCTGTCTGGAATTCTAACTAAGGTCTGGCTGTGCATATGTATTTAGGTGCTTACACATTGCATTCTTTCAGTTTAAGTGGAAGTAGCTGCTCTGTTTACAGTTTTTCAGTTTGAACAAGGTATAAAACTTAAACATAAATGTTGTTCTTCACCTTAGTTGTATGACATTAAATATGGTTTAGTCTTAGGATGATTTTAGTAAACTTATATAGAAAGTTTTTTGTGCACATTGTTTGTGTATAGCTGTGTGAAGAGTGTGGGTCAGAAAGAAAAGCATTCTTGATCAATTCAAGCTAAAATCAACATATTTCTGTTCTTGGTGTCATGGCCTCATGGTTGCATAGAAGGTTAGAAATGCCATACATCGGTTCAGCTTTGAACTTGTTTTCAGTCGTTGTGCAGTCAGTAAAATTTTTATTGTAACTTAATCCTTGTTCTTCACAGGTAACAATGATGTTGACAAGATCTGCGACTTTTCCACTTGCTCCCTTTGAGGCTGCTTTAGGCCATATGTTCTTTGGCTTGCAAAAGACACCATCCAAAGTGAAGGGTGAAGGTGCCGCATCTTCCAATGGCTCTTCAGTCTGTGACCGGTCTTCTTCTGACCAACACCGTGATGGTGTTAAGAAAAGACAGGCAAAGAAAACCGATTAAGTGGCTTAAAATCCTTGATGGTCATAACCTTTCAAATGTTTGTATTTCAGATTAGGGTGGCTGAGGAGAGAGCAGGGCTGTGTACTGCTGTGTTGTTTGCCTTCAGAATGTGTTTTGTAAGTTACTGTTCAGATATCTAAATGAACATGTTGGATTTGTAAGTTAAAAACTACAAATTTTTATAGTGGTTTCAAGTTTACTACATTTTGTATTTATGAATAACTTTAAATGCTTACATGTTAAAAAGATAGTTTCCAAATGTGACAATCAGCTTTGTTATTTTTTCTGATATATCACTTGTATCGCCTCTTTTTTCTACCCCCCTCCAATTTTTACGTTTCATTTGGGTAGCATGGACTTTCACTGCCAAGTGTTCACAGTAGCATGTCCCAAGTAAGGAATTCATCATCTGAGTAAGGCTTAATCACTTTGCACTGTAAAACTGTGAAAATATACCAAACTAATGCCTTTAACTAGAAAAATGACTGAATTACTGTTGTAATTCACATTGCATTGGTCTAGATTTTCTTCATTCACTAAAGTAAATGTTTTTCATATTTTTCTTTTTTTTTAAAGTAAGAGTGAATTATCTCTCAGTTTTAAAAATCTCTAGTTAGCAAATAGAAACACTTCAATATTTTTGTTATTGGCTTTGACACTTTATTTGCAAGCATTTGATATATAGCTGTTTTTCATGCTACATGGGTGATTTACATGTAGTTTGTAATATCTTTCAGTTTGACTGGGACTAGACATCTCTGCCTGCACTTTTATCCAAGCATATGCTTTTTTTTCTTTTCAAAGCCAAACTTCCTTTTGAAAAAGAATACTGGACAGTACATTTAGCTTGTTTCTCATGAGTTCAGACCTATTATGCCTGCTGCTAATAAATACCAGGACTAGTTTGTAGCAATTACCTCTGGTGCTATTGGAGAAGAACTATTAAGATCAGCAGCATTGGAACTATTTATCAGCGCTTGCTGAAATCTGCTGCTTCCTGCTCATTGCATCTTTTTTGTACCTAATGTGGAAAAGTTGTAAGTGGCATACACCTGTGAAACATCCTAGTTCTCAGTTCTGAAATGTTAACATTTCATAAGAATATAATCTTTTCAGAGAAATCTTTCTTTGATGTAACAATTTTTAGAATAAATTAAACTATTTTTACAGAATTAGATTATTTGTCTTCAGAGAGCACTGCTTTGAGGAGTATTCTTCAGCAAGAGGAGGTAGGTTAATCTTTTTGTGCAGGGATGCCAAGGAGAATGTGGAGGGAGATCTGATTTGAAAAGACAAAGTTCTAGTTCTAGGTACATGTCTAAATTTAGAAAAACTGTCACCAGTACTGTGCATAGAGAGGAAAAAAAAAAAATACCCAAAAAATTTCTTGTGCCTGTCTAGTCACGTTTCCATGATAGTGACCAAAACCATTGAACACCTCAGTTTGGAGTCTAACTTTATAGCAAATGAAACCTTGAAAGCTATAATGAGTATTTTCTTCAACACAGAATTAAAAAAAATAAACGACAACAACAAAAAAAACCAAACCAAAACAAAAACAAAAACAAAAAAACCAAAAAAACAAACCAAAAAACAAAACCCAGCTCTTTGGACAAAATAGGAGTCATGTTCCTGATGTTTTACACTGAAACTTTGTGTCCAGTTAGAAATGCTTGGAGTATTAATTTGCAGGGTGTCTCTTTTTTTTTGTAACTTGGTATCATGGGTTTATGGATAAACTTGAAGCTGCCAACTGACTAGTTAATAATCAACTAGTTATTCAGCAACACCAGCAAAAGTTGTGTGTCCAAAGTTTTTAAAACTTCTAGGTTTTTTTTTTTAAAAGGTGTAATTCTGTATGCTAGATGACAAGAAACATAGAAAATTGGATTGTATGGTATGAAACTGTGTTGCACAACTGTGAAATACTGGTTGATAACTGTCTACTCTTAGCCCAAATAAATGTGAAAATATGCTTAGACTAATTCTTTAACAAGTTTACAATTTCAAGGAAAACATAGGGTTTTGTATTAATTTTGGACTTAAAGACTGCAATATTAAAAAAAAAAAGTTGTTTTTCTTGACTGAACACCTTAAGAGAAAAAAAATCACACTAAAACTGTCGTCTTGTGAGATAGAACATAAGTTATGCTGAAAGAAATCCTGTGGTAAGCACCATGAAAACAAACCTTCATGTTTAAAGATCGCACAGGCTTCTGAAGGATGGGCGGTCAAAAGAACTCCATACTCAATAGTTACATGCAAGTGTTCTGAGAACTATTTTTCTGTAGTACAAAAAAGATAACCAGCTACATAAGGATTAAAATTCTGTAGGGGACTTTAATACAATCTGTCCAGGATGCCTTAAATAAACAATTACTTCCTAGCTTTCATGCTGATAGTTCTGTATTTCTGGTGAAAAGCATGTCAGATTCAGTGGAACTGCATATGTGAACTAGTTGGCTGTGTCTAATTTCATCATTAGCCTGGTAAAACTAGAAGTAGTTATCTTGTGCTAATATGAACTAAGCCGTGAAAGACCTGTTTTATTACCTCAATTCTTGGGCTGGAAGGGCCTATTCCTGATCAATCCAATTGCTCTTCAGGGTCTTCATTCCTATTAAGAGTGCCAAATTTCTGTAAAAAGAAACCTTAAGATGTGATTCATGAACGGAACCAAAGTTGCTCTAGATGTTCGTAGAATCATTTAGGTTGGAAAGGACCTTTAAGATCATTCAGTTCAACCATAAACCTAACACTGCCAAGTCCACCACTAAACCAGGTCCCTAAGCACCACGCTATACGTCTTTTAAATACCTCCAGAGATGGTGACTCCACCACCTCCCTGGGCAGCCTGTTCCAATGCTTGATAACCCTTTTTGTGAAGGAAAGTATCCTAATGTCCATTATAACCTTTCCCTGGCACAACTTGGGGCCGTTTCCTCTTGTCCTGTTGCTTGTTACTTGGGAGAAGAGACCAACACCCATCTCGCCACAACCCCTTTTCAGATAGTTGTGCAGAGCAATCAGGTCTCCTCAGCCTCCTTTTCTCCAGGCTAAACAACCCCAGTCCCCTCAGCTGCTCCTCATAAGACTTGTTCTCCAGACCCCTCACCAGCTTCATTGCCCTTCTTTGGAGGTGCACCAGCACCTCAATGTCCTTCTTGTAGTGAGGGGCCCAAAACTGAACACCGAATTCAAGGTGCAGCCTCACCAGTGCCAAGTACAGGGGCACAATCACTTCCCTACTCCTGCTGGCCACACTATTTCTGATACAGGCCAGGATGCTGTTGGCCTTCTTGGCCACCTGGGCACACTGCTGGCTCATATTCAACCAGCTGTCAGCACCCCCAGGTCCTTTTCCATCGGGCAGCTCTCCAGCCACTCCTCCCCAAGCCTGTAGCGTTGCATGGGGTTGTTGTGGCCCAAGTGCAGGACCTGGCACTTGGCCTTGTTGAACCTCATACAGTTGGCCTCAGACCATTGATCCAGCCTGTCCAGATCCCTCTGCAGAGCCCTCCTACCCTCCAGCAGACAAACACTCCCGCCCAACTTGATGTTTTCTGCAACTTACTGAGGGTGCACTCAATCTCCTCTTCCAGATCATTGAAAAAGACATTAAACAGAACTGACCGAAATACTAAGCCCTTGTGACTGGCTGCCAACTCGCTTTATTCACCACAACTCTTTGGGCCTGGCCATCCAGCCAGTTTTTTACCCAGTGAAGAGTACACCCGTTTAAGCCACGAGCTGACAGTTTCTCCAGGAGGATGCTGTGGGAAACAGCATCAAAGGTTTTACTGAAGTCTAGGTAAACAACATCCACAGCCTTTCCCTCATCCACTAAGCAAGTCACCTTGTCATAGGAGGAGATCATGTTGGATCTGCCTTTCATAAATCCATGCTGACTGGTCCTGATCACCTGGTTGTCCTGTATGTGCTGTATGATGGCACTTGAGATGACTTCCCTGGCACTGAGGTCAGACTGACAGGCTTGTAGTTCCCCTGTCTGTTTTAAGTAGTAGTTTGCATTTATTCTGATAGAACTGCCCTGTTAAACACTCAAATGCCTTTTGTGAAATATGTGAAAATGTCCAGGAAGGAACAGATAGCAATATGAACACTGACTGAGAAATACATTAATATTCTCAGATGAGAACAGCCTATTGCATGCTGATCTGCAAGTGGGTTTTATCTACAGTCGAGAAGTAGACTATGATGATCAAAATACCATACCAAACAAAAACTGCTGCAGCCAGTTTTTTATGCCACATGCATATGTCCAACAACTTCTGTGAAGGAGGAACAGAATAGGTTGCTAATAAAAAAGGTTTTGTCAAAGTTGTGGAAGGGTGCTGTCAAGGTGATTGAGACGGCTTTACTGACCCTGGAAGCTGATAGTGCCAGTGACCTGTACTTGTTATGAAAGGACCCTGAAAGCATGGGTCATGCATCTAGTTTGTTGTCGCTGGTTGAAAGTTTATCAAGCTTTCTTGCATACTTTTCCATGATAAATTATATACAAATTGTTCCTTGTAGTCACTTCAATCAGAGTCAACTTCGGTTTGGTCAAGTTTTTTCCTTCCTTTAAAAGAAGACCACAATCAATGAATATCAAGGCTAGATTAGATAGTCTTGTGGATTTTTT